ATTGACTATGCCATTCAATGTATCTGTCATTTCCTGGGGACTTATTCCCTCAGGCCTCGAAGGACTTATTCCTTCGGCTTCCCGGGGACTTATTCCCTCGGGTTTCGGGGAACTTATTGCCGCCGTATTTGTAATATCAAGACTTACTACCTTTACTTCCTCTAGCTGGGGTTGCGCAACCACAGCGAGATCCTCTACGAAAGAATCTCCAGTCGATCTAGGATTATCGTTTCGCTTAACCTGAGCGATCGATTGTTTCTCTTCGAGATGTTCCCCGCTAGTGATACATCTTTGTCCCGGTCCACCCGACTTATTCGAGTGGTGGACCTTCGGTGCAGCCTGTGTTTCCTCACAGCCGCCGGAATCTTGCTCCAAAGTGTGACTGTTTGTTACACTAAGGTTTTGTGCAGTCGTGCTAACGACTGTACCAAGTGAGGCCATCGCACTCACTCGTAGTATATCCACACGCTTGTGGACCCTCTAAAACGTTCATCAGATGGCCATTTGATGAACAAGCGGCAGGCATCGTTACTGTTCGATGTTGCCAGTTTACCCGTGGTTCGTACCTTCTGAGCCACGGTATTCCAAGGATGAAATCAAATTTGTCATCCAAATCCAATACGATGAAGTCATCGTCATATTGGGTATCTCCTAGCGTATAGTGGATCTTCACTATACGCTTCATGACGGTTACGGATGCGCCTGTCGCAAGACGTACCGTCATCCTTGTAGGAGGTGTGTCACATTCACTGAACTTAAAGTGACCATCTTCTAGCGATTGGCGTTGCACAAAATTGTTGGACGCCCCACAATCGACTAGAGCTCGAAAGGACAACTTATTCGTCACTTCGAGTTTCAAGGTAATGAGTGAGATCTCATTACCTAGAGCAGCAACGCACAACGTTTGTGTGTTGGGAGCAACCTTCATCAAGAGGCCTACAAATTCTCTTGACGTTGCTGGACCAGTAGGGTGCTCCGCACCTACTGATCCTGTCCGTTTTTTGACGGTCCATCCCGTTGTTGCGTCTTTGCACCAACTGCGGACCCTCGTCCCTGCCCCTTTCTCATGGGTGGACGGTCACTACGCCCAGTGTCGCGAGACACTGGACGAGGGGCACTACACTCGTAAGCGTAGTGTCCTGTCTTTTGACATCTGTTGCATCTCTGCAACTTCTTGTAGCCTGTAGAGCGAGCCTTCTCGCTCTCTACATAACAGAGTTCCATCGGCTCTGGACCTCCGTTGTCATATCGTCTCGGTTGACGATATGATGTCGAGCTGGCGCGAGCCTGTCTCAGACTGGAGTTTTCCTGTCCGCAATGGAAATGGCTTGTTCTAGTGAATCTAGTTCAAGTCGGAGCCGGTGAGTCTTGACGGGACCATCCGCAAGACCCTGCATGAACACCGAAACCAAAGTGTGTTCATCCACCGGATTGGAACTTATAAAACTCGTGAGATGTCGTATCTGTTGCGCGTAAGCGTGCACATCACGCTTACCCTGCTTGAGCTTCAAGAGTTCGGTTCGAGCTCTGAACTCAGCTCTAGGCGGTTCAAACGTTTGTCTGAGCCGCGACTTGAAGACTTCCAACGACCCAAACGCATATGGGTCGTGCAACTTGAGCCCCAGTGCCCAAGTCTTGGCACGTCCTGCCAGATTTGACTGGGCAAATGAAGCTTGCATTTCCCCATCATCGATGCGAAGCGTCCTTATGGCGTCGTCTAGTTCGACGAACCATCTCAGGAGGGAGTCCTCTTCGACTCTCCTATACTTGGAGATGTCAATCTTCAAAGTCTCGAGTCGACGCGAGTGCATCGACCCACCAGCAGCAGCCTGCTGCTGTCTCAACAGTTCAAACTGTTGAACACCCTGTTCTCTCAACAACTCTGCTTGTTGAGAACCTTGTTGGTGAAGCAAGGCTACTTTCTCGCGTTCGGCGTCAAGTTCATTTTGAATGAACTTGACGATAGTAGCATGTTGGGCATCTCTATTGAGAGCCTCTAGCATGACGCTAACAGCATGGATGCCCATGGTCGAACCCATTCGTTCAACCGCATCCCATTCGACATCGCTCAAATGGGAGTAGCCGTCACGCGTAGCGTGAAAGCTTTGGTCATCTTCATCATCCAACATATTCATGTTAGATGTGAACGTGGTCCTTGGACGGACTACGAAGTGCTACCAGGTGTAACGGGGCACCCTGAAGCTTGTACTGTCACCAGTACAAGCTACTTATTCTGATGACAGAATAAGGCGGTGCCTCGTAACTTCACGTACACTCGTACGTGCAGAGGAAGACGGTAAGAAGAAGCGAGTACTTGGTTAGAGTAAAAAGTAGAACTGTATTTATCATAGTTAATGTCTGTTAATAAACCACTGTTTATCCTCATCTAACTATGTCGAAATACAAATGTGCATATCAACTATCTGCTCACCACTCATTGCGTGCGTCTGTCGTGGCGCGTCTTCGTTGGTTGATATAATGGCCTATATCAACCAATTAGGAACTACTTGTAAGTGCTACAGAATATTTGTCCTTATGACAATATTCTGAGAATATAACTCTTATAGTTATATTCTATTAACAATTTCTTATAAATTGTTATGTAACGATTCACCCCGTTACACTTCTCCTTACCGTCTTCCTCTGCACGTACGAGTGTACGGGAAGTTACGAGGCACCGCCCTATTCTGTCATCAGAATAAGTAGCTTGTACTGTCACCAGTGCAAGTCTTAGGGTACCCCGTTACATACAGGGTATATCAGAAATTTGTCCGAGCAGTTTATAAATGTCGAGTCACCACCACTATGATGGAAATCAATGATACAACGTCGAAGTTGTTTTCCGCTCTTTGAGCGGTATACACATGTTAGCCAAAGTTGCAAAATACTGCATGTTGTGAATTACGATGAATTCACCAAAACACGTCAACTACAAAGCAGCATATGAACATGAGAATCCAGCTCATCAGTGCCAGCCAATACCCAAGTCAGCCATGTCATTTGCAGTGAACGTGTTCAAGGTATAAATTCCATTAAAATCAAGGGACCACACACATATACCTCAGCACTCCGTCTTCTGAGTGGTTTGTCACTGTCACGGATAAGGTTGTCATGGACCTCGCCCATATCAAGGGCTGTAATGAAGAAAATTGCGATAAATTCTGTGATCTTCTATCACAGTAAGTTGGAGGAGTGGCTACTCGGATTCTCTGCTTCACAAAAACGATCGTGGGATATAGGCTGTAACGGGGTAGCCCGTGACATGAAATTGACACCAAACGGTGTCAATTGTAATATCGTCTAGTGAGACAGAATTCTACCGAAATTATCCGGGATGGATAATATTGAATGAATATTATCCCCTCTTGGATAATATTTATTCGCTGCTATAAGATATGTCGAAATAAGACAAATCAACCATAGATTGCCACCAACCGCTGCGAGACGCGCGCAATGAGTGGTGAGCAGGTTGTCGTCATACGACGACTGTAACAGGGCACTCTCAAGCTTGTACTGATGACAGTACAAGCTACTTATTCTGATGACAGAATAAGGCGGTGCCTCGTAACTTCACGTACACTCGTACGTGCAGAGGAAGACGGTAAGAAGAAGCGAGTACTTGGTTAGAGCAAAAAGTAGAACTGTATTTATCATAGTTAATGTCTGTTAATAAACCACTGTTTATCCTCATCTAACTATGTCGAAATACAAATGTGCATATCAACTATCTGCTCACCACTCATTGCGTGCGTCTGTCGTGGCGCGTCTTCGTTGGTTGATATAATGGCCTATATCAAACAATAAGGAACTACTCGTAAGTGCCGCAGAATATTTGTCCTTATGACAATATTCTGAGAATATAACTCTTATAGTTATATTCTATTAACAATTTCTTATAAATTGTTATGTAACGGTTCACCCCGTTACACCCCCCCCTTAACCATCAGTCACTTTAGTGACTGATTGACCAAATGGATACTCGTCCCAAATCATTTGGGACAGGGTTTGCACTTGTTGGTCCGAGTCCACTTTCCAACATTTCGTCGCATGGTTAACAAGCCCATGCGGTGCGCGAACAAGGCCGCCGAGAGCGCGTCTGCACGTCTCTGTGCAGACGCAGAAGCAGAAACTACAGCATCTGATGTATCATCGGTTGCTGAAGCGACCCAGCCTGTGTCACGTGGTGATGCAGGCGCTGGTCATGAAGACACCAATGTCTTCACAGAGTACGAGCTCGGTGTCTCGTACTCTCCTGATACGGATGACGGATCCGTATCGACGGCGATTGAATCTAAGCCGCCTGCCAAGCGTGGCATGGACGATGCTTTGCGTCGCAGCATCTTTGGTTCATCTGACGAATCAGATGAACCATCGCCGAAGCGAAGGCGCTTGAGATCGCAAGACTCGGGCGCTCACAGTGGTGTCGGTTCTCCTATTGGCACCACTTCGCAGCGAGGTACCATTACTTCTGTCGGCACGTTGCAAGAAGAGCGGGACCGCAGTGTATTGCGTCTCGCTCCGGAGAAGAAGGCATGGATGCCTCCAAAGTCGGTCATGGATCGCTTGTCGGCGACGACGAGTGATCGCTATCGAACACGATTGTTCGATTCGTCAAGGATCCATCACCTGACTCCAGTGCGAAAAACTATCGCGCTGAACATGAATTCTTCATCGATGCTTTCTTCAAGCATCGATGGTACAGTGGGAATCACAAACGTGATTGTCTTTCACTACTTCAAGCGTGGAACACCTACATCCATAACCTTGAGGATGTAGGTCGTGACGTTTGGAACGACAAACTTATCAAAGCTCGTGATATGTTTGAGAAGAGAACCCCGACAGGTGCACGCTACAAGCTGCATCGTCTGTCAAGGGAGAAAGGATTACCCTGCCTCTCTTGGGGAGACTCGTGCCCATGTTGTGTGAACAACTCTGCACGAGCACCTAAGGAGGCTTACCTCCTTACCAGCCCGTGGTGGCGCGTACGTATCTCTACTGAGATGTACGAAGGGATTGACAACTTGAAATCCCTTTACGACCGTGCCGGGAAGACTTTCTCCGGCGGTCCTTCTGCGGCACAGGATGTGCCGCGTCGTACTGCTCAACCAGACCCAGTACGTCGATCATCAGTTGGGAGCGGGGCTCCCAAGAATCCCAGGACGGGGGATAGCCGCGCCACCGGACGAGATAACTCGTCCGACGTCCGTTCACGTCGCGGTGGTTCAACAGCTGCTCAACTAGATAGCGCTGGCCACCGCGAGAGTCCTCTAATGGAAGTGGAGGAGGAGGAAAGACGCTCTCCACACGATCATGTGAATCGGTGTGTTCCCGAGAGCTTCTTTGATCGCGTAACGCAAGGGTTACGCGACGATCTCGAACATGAGCGGGACAGGCGTCTCCAAATGGCGGACACTGTCTTGAAGCATCGAGCTGAGTTTGACTTTTCTCAGCTTGAGAACGAGAGATCTCTGACATCTCTTCGTGACGAGCTAAGGGTAGCTCGTGGGATTGTTGATCGGTCTCGGGATGAGATAGCTGCTCTTCAGACCCTTGTTGATGCCCACCATCGGGAGTACAAGGCTCTCTGCGAGATGCTTGAGCGCAAGGGCGTTCTTCATCGGAAGAAGCAGCGTACTGATGGTACGGCTTAAGCCGACCAACGTAAAACGTGGGATGCGTTCGCATCTTACGTGGTAACTCGATCGTGTATGCATTGCCTAGGCGGTGCAATGCACGAAATGGGCCGATGTACTTGGGTAGAAGTTTACTACTACCCAAGTTAGTCACTACATGCTTTGGTAGGTTAACCGTAGACAGTAGGACTAAGTCACCTTGATTAAATAAAAGAGTGTTTGCCCTTCCATTCTTGTCTGCGTTTTTCTTTTGCTTATCCACCGCTTCGGCGATGGAGTCTTGCACAAAACGGACTACCGTTTCACGAGCCAGTATGAACTCATCTGATGACTCGTTAGCTTCAGTGCGCTGTGAGTGCACTGCAGCGACATCAACCTTTTCTTCAGTGAGGGTTCACTCGCTCTCACTGGCATCATCTTCTTCGATATCGATGTTGTCGATATTGGCATCAAACGCAATGACCTCATCGTCAAAGTGTGATGAGCGTGAACCAAATCGTTTTTTGCTCGCGCGAGTCTCTTTCCCCCTTAAACCAGTTTTACACTCGAGCAAGGTGGGTACACGCGGATGGCGCAAGCCATTCACGTAAAACGGTGTATGTGTCGTGGACGCATGCACCGAGTTGTTGATGGCAAACTCTACCATTGGCAAGAACTCACTCCAACTCTTAAAGGAGTGTAAGTATCCTCGAAGTATCTCTTCAAGGACACGATTTGCCCGTTCCGTCTGACCATCTGACTCTGGATGATCAGATGTCGACATCTTCAAGCGCGTTCCGAGTGATTTGAACACGGAACGCCAGAAATCAGCAGTGAAGCGTGGATCTCTGTCTGATACGAGTTCACGGGGCAACCCATGAAGTCGGAAGATGGTGTCGATAAAGACACAAGCACAGCCACTTGCCGTGATTGACCCTGGTACAGCCACAAGGTGTACCATTTTGCTGAATCTGTCAACAAATACGAGAATACCCGTATTCCCGCGTGCGTCTTTGGGTAGCCCGAAGACAATATCCATTGAGATGGATTTGCAGCACTCTGCCGGAACCGGTAGAGGCTGTAAAGGTGCACGCAGTGAAGGACTTGACTTCACTCGTTGACAGACTTCGCATGCGCGAACATACTTTCACACAAACTGATACTGGCGGGGCCAGTAAAAGTCTCGACTCACCGTGAGATATGTTTTCTCCCGGCCACGATGTCCTCCTATAGGAGCATCGTGATACTCGAACATGATCCGCTGACGCAGATCAGTATCATGTGGGATGACAACACGTGGTATGTCACCAGAAACGGCTGTATAATACAGTAAACCGTTGCGAGTAGTGTATCGATCTGATGTAGATCGATACGCAGGCGACAATCGTTTCAACGATTCTCGAGATGGCTGTGAGAGATGTGTCAACAACTTCACGATCTCACCATCTTGGGCGTATGCCCGCCTCACATCATCCTGCAACGTTGAAGATGGTATTGAGGACGTCATAACCGCAACAGTGACTGTCTCACTGTTGGGTTTCACGACTGTTTCAAAGTCGGGCTGACATGAGAGTGCATCAGCGACGACATTAAGTCATCCTGGTTTGTACTCGACCGTAAAGTTGTATTCTGCAAAGAATGACAACCACCGCGCCATTCGTTGTGAAAGGTGCGGGCTGTTCACTGCCGTGCGTAATGACGCATGGTCAGTGTAAACAACGAAGGGTCTATCTCCTAATAGATAGACTCTGAACTTCGCGAGTGCATACTTCATGGCAAGGAGTTCCTTGTCATGCACTGGATAGTTCCGCTCAGCTGGTTGCAGCTGACGCGACTGATAGCAGACGACGCGTTCAACGCCTTCAAGATCGTACTGCATTAATGCACAGCCGATTGCGAAATCACTGGCATCACAGACCACATGAAATGGCCTGTCCTGATCGGCTATTGCTAGGACTGGGGATTGTATCAAGCTCTGCTTGATACCCTCAAAGGAGCGTTGACATTCAGCGTTCCATAACCACCTCTCGTTCTTTTTCAACAAACGAGAGAGGTGCACAGTCATCTCGGCGTAATTGCGTGAATACTTATGCAAATACGCCGCTAGCCCAAGGAATTTTCGAAGACCTTTGACATCGACCGGCACAGGCCAGTCGGTGATCGCCTTGATCTTTTCGGGATCAGGACGTACACCGGTCTTACCAACGATGCACCCAAGAAGTGGTATTTCGCTTGCTGCAAATATACACTTCTTGAGGTTAGCATACAATTGATGCTTTCGCATGATTGTAAGAACCTGTCGGACGTGGTACCTGTGAACCTCAACGTCCGACTTTCCATCCATAGCTCGACTATGGATGAATACGTCATCGAAATAACTCGGCGCGAATTCTCGTACTGGTCTCAACAGATGTGATACACATCTGTTGAACGTGGCAGGGGCATTACTAAGCCCTTGTGGCATTGCTAGCCATTCCCAGAGCATGCCGCTAGGCGTGCTCACTGCGGTATAGGGTATATCCCGTTCCCGCATAAGGATTTGATAGAAGCCATCCATCAAATCCATGGACGAAAAGATGGTACTTTTTGACATACCATCAATGATTACGTCCTTCCTCGGTATCGGCGTCTGAGCCGGTACCGTTGCAGCATTCAACTTGTTGAACGCGTGCACTTTCCGCCACCCTCCTGTTGCTTTTCGCACACAGAAGGTCGGAGAGCTATGTGGGGAAGTTGATTCCCTCACATGGCCCGCAGCTAAACGATCGGCAAAGAACTTGTCGATCGCAAGTACTTGTTCACGAGGCAGTGGCCACTGCTTCATAACACAATACTTCGAGCCTGGTTTAAGCTCGACCTCGTGTCAAATACCTTTATCCTTCGGTAATTCGCCCGGAACAGTTTCAGGGAATACATCCTTGAATTTAACCAAATCTTCATAGAGAGGATTTGTCTTGAGCGATTCCCACGATTGGGAGTCATATCGCTCAATTCGTGTCTTTTCATCGAGGACGCTCTCATCCATCGATGAACTACTGAGAACTCTCTCGTTCTCAGTAAACACTGTTGCTGACCTTATGTCGGCTACACACTCGTCGTCAGCGACGAGTACGCATATCTGCTTGACTTTGCCACTACGCAGATCACGCAAGAACATTTTACGCTCGAGCGTTGGCAACTGAGTGATCTCCGAAGTCAACTTCGGAGGCGCAATCAGATCAAGTGTATAAGCGCCTACACTTGATCCATCATTGACTATGAAATTCAATGTATCTGTCATTTCCTGGGGACTTATTCCCTCAGGCCTCGAAGGACTTATTCCTTCGGCTTCCCGGGGACTTATTCCCTCGGGTTTCGGGGAACTTATTGCCGCCGTATTTGTAATCTTGGGACTTATTACCTTTACTTCCTCTAGCTGGGGTTGCGCAACCACAGCGAGATCCTCTACGAAAGACTCTCCAGTCGATCTAGGATTATCGTTTCGCTTAACCTGAGCGATCGATTGTTTCTCTTCGAGATGTTCCCCGCTAGGGATACATCTTTGTCCCAGTCCACCCGACTTATTCGAGTGGTGGACCTTCGGCGCAGCCTGTGTTTCCTCACAGCCGCCGGAATCTTGCTCCGAAGCGTGACTGTTTGTTACACTAAGGTTTTGTGCAGTCGTGCTAACGACTGTACCAAGTGAGGCCATCGCACTCACTCGTAGTATATCCACACGCTTGTGGACCCTCTAAAACGTTCATCAGATGGCCATTTGATGAACAAGCGGCAGGCATCGTTACTGTTCGATGTTGCCAGTTTACCCGTGGTTCGTACCTTCTGAGCCACGGTATTCCAAGGATGACATCAAATTTGTCATCCAAATCCAATACGATAAAGTCATCGTCATATTGGGTATCTTCTGGCGTACAGTGGATCTTCACTATACGCTTCATGACGGTTACGGATGCGCCTGTCGCAAGACGTACCGTCATCCTTGTAGGAGGTGTGTCACATTCACTGAATTTAAAGTGACCATCTTCTAGCGATTGGCGTCGCACAAAAATGTTGGACGCCCCACAATCGACTAGAGCTCGAAGGGACAACTTATTCGTCACTTCGAGTTTCAAGGTAATGAGTGAGATCTCATTACCTAGAGCAGCAACGCACAACGTTTGTGTGTTGGGAGCAACCTTCATCAAGAGGCCTACAAATTCTCTTGACGTTGCTAGACCAGTAGGGTGCTCCGCACCTACTGATCCTGTCCGTTTTTTGACGGTCCATCCCGTTGTTGCGTCTTTGCACCAACTGCGGACCCTCGTCCCTGCCCCTTTCTCATGGGTGGACGGTCACTACGCCCAGTGTCGCGAGACACTGGACGAGGGGCACTACACTCGTAAGCGTAGTGTCCTGTCTTTTGACATCTGTTGCATCTCTGCAACTTCTTGTAGCCTGTAGGGCGAGCCTTCTAGCTCTCTACATAACAGAGTTCCATCGGCTCTGGACCTCCGTTGTCATATCGTCTCGGTTGACGATATGATGTCGAGCTGGCGCGAGCCTGTCTCAGACTGAAGTCTTCCTGCTCCGCAATGGAAATGGCTTGTTCTAGTGAATCTAGTTCAAGTCGGAACCGGTGAGTCTTGACGGGACCATCCGCAAGACCCTGCATGAACACCGAAACCAAAGTGTGTTCATCCACCGGATTGGAACTTATACAACTCGTGAGATGTCGTATCTGTTGCGCGTAAGCGTGCACATCACGCTTACCCTGCTTGAGCTTCAAGAGTTCGGTTCGAGCTCTGAACTCAGCTCTAGGCGGTTCAAACGTTTGTCTGAGCCGCGACTTGAAGACATCAAACGACCCAAACGCATATGGGTCGTGCAACTTGAGCCCCAGTGCCCAAGTCTTGGCACGTCCTGCCAGATTTGACTGGGCAAATGAAACTTGCATTTCCCCATCATCGATGCGAAGCGTCCTTATGGCGTCGTCTAGTTCGACGAACCATCTCAGGAGGGAGTCCTCTTCGACTCTCCTATACTTGGAGATGTCAATCTTCAAAGTCTCGAGTCGACGCGAGTGCATCGACCCACCAGCAGCAGCCTGCTGCTGTCTCAACACTTCAAACTGTTGGACACCCTTTTTCCCCCACAACAACTCTGCTTGTTGAGAACCTTGTTGGTGAAGCAAGGCTACTTTCTCGCGTTCGGCGTCAAGTTCATTCAAAATGAACTTGACGATAGTAGCATGTTGGGCATCTCTATTGAGAGCCTCTAGCATGACGCTAACAGCATGGATGCCCATGGTCGAACCCATTCGTTCAACCGCATCCCATTCGACATCGCTCAAATGGGAGTAGCCGTCACGCGTAGCGTGAAAGCTTTGGTCATCTTCATCATCCAACATATTCATGTTAGATGTGAACGTGGTCCTTGGACGGACTACGAAGTGCTACCAGGTGTAACGGGGCACCCTGAAGCTTGTACTGTCACCAGTACAAGCTACTTATTCTGATGACAGAATAAGGCGGTGCCTCGTAACTTCACGTACACTCGTACGTGCAGAGGAAGACGGTAAGAAGAAGCGAGTACTTGGTTAGAGCAAAAAGTAGAACTGTATTTATCATAGTTAATGTCTGTTAATAAACCACTGTTTATCCTCATCTAACTATGTCGAAATACAAATGTGCATATCAACTATCTGCTCACCACTCATTGCGTGCGTCTGTCGTGGCGCGTCTTCGTTGGTTGATATAATGGCCTATATCAACCAATTAGGAACTACTTGTAAGTGCTACAGAATATTTGTCCTTATGACAATATTCTGAGAATATAACTCTTATAGTTATATTCTATTAACAATTTCTTATAAATTGTTATGTAACGATTCACCCCGTTACACTTCTCCTTACCGTCTTCCTCTGCACGTACGAGTGTACGGGAAGTTACGAGGCACCGCCCTATTCTGTCATCAGAATAAGTAGC